GATAACTGTGCATAATATGCATACATAATAGGATTACATTCATAACACACATTAATTCTCCTAAGTACATAATTTTGAGCCTTATCCTAAACTCTGGAGTTTATTAAAGTGGTTCTTGGGTTAGGGATTTTTTTTTAGGTAGCAAAGTCCAGCAATATTGTAGAGAGAGATGCTTAAGCAGGCAGGCCATTAAGACCTTTAAGGAACATTTGAAAAGTACTATTCACTATGAGTAAGCACAGAAACTGGTTGTGTTGTGAATGAAGACATGTCTGGTATTTCTAGGGAATTCTCTGCTAATCATTTGCAATTACAGAAGGTTAGAGGAGGAGGAGAGGCCATGTCCACAACAAAATTTGTCCTTGTATTTGCTGTCTGCTACTGCTACAGTTTCTCATTTCTGTACAACCGAGCTGAAACTTGGTTAGCAGTCGTAGCTGCTAGCTGTGTTTCCTTCCTGCCAGAGGTCTAGACTAGTGGCTTTCTGCACATGGTTTAGCATAATATTTTCTGCTCTGTGGCAGGATGCCCCAGCCACGCCTATGTAATTGGTGTTGCTACTCTTCCTTTTTCCCAGACTTTTTTTACATTAGAGCACTCCAAAGAGCGTTGCCCTACAAATTGGTCGAGCGGTTCTGACTGAATGTTCCCTGAACAAAGGCTTTATGCATTAGTTGCCAGATTTTTCCTAAATGCACTGGTATGAAATATGTCAGCAGTGTACTTTAGAGTAGATATGCAAACATTGCTGTTCTGTTCTTCAGGCTAGCTTTTAGCTAGGTCAGATCCATGCAGCTCATTCCAAATTTTGGCTTGGTAGTGAGAATACAAGGAAATGGTAAAACAGAGTGCAGAAAGTTAAGTGTTTCTACGTTCTGGTGACAGTGTAAATCCTGAACCTTTCTGTGGTCTCTGAACAGTTATAAAATCACAGCAGTCACATATGTGAATAGCTCTAAAAATCTTATACATTCAATATAATCCTGACTAATTTTCCATGTTCAGTTTTATATTGTACAGTTTTGACTTGCCATATAGGATTTACTCAAAGATGTATATTTTTCTTTAATGCCTGATTTCGTTTGACGTGGCTGGTAGAGGAGTCTCAGCATCGAACGGGATGTAAGGTGTAACGTCACTTAGAATAAACACATTCTGAAGACGATGGATGGATGGATTCATTTAAGATGGGATAAAATAGCCAGAAGTCTTGGAGCTTCTTCTGCACGATAGCTGATCACTGCAACCAGTGACTGTATACTGAATATATCAAAGACCTACACAAGCCTCTAAAACAGCTAGATTGGGTGGCAGTACATTAAGTGCAAGAGCTCAGAACTCAGTGCAGAGTGTAAAGATGGAAGGATGCTTTTTAGGTAGCCTGGACTGAACCCGTTTGTAGTGCTGTGAATGCGGTGTTGATATCCCTCAAAATTATCTTCATAGTGAGGCAGGCCTAACTGGGAAAGCTGGCTAATTGGGCCTTCCATCAGTACTGCCAAAGCCAGTCCTCCTAAAGCTCTGGAAGCACTTTAGGAGAAGATGGAACTTATGTTCACTGAAGAGCATAAAAAATATATGAAGAAGGGAGGGAGGCTGTATCTACTGGATATAGAACAGAAAAAAAGAAATAAACTCCTTGTTAGGTGAAGGCAGAGCAGAGAGTGAAGTGCCACTGCCAGTCCAAAACCTGTGAGGGGCAGATTTTGGAATCACAAGTACCAGGCTGTTTCTTCAGCGCTTCAATTTGCGTACAGAGCTTGTCTCTAGAATAATTCTAGAGTGTGCATTGTTAAATAAGATAGTTCAGTATTTTGTAGAGTGTTCATATGCCTTTGTGTTAAGATAAATGATCGGACACTTTCCTACTTTGCAGTCATGTAGTCTGTAGAAAGATTGTGATTACAAGAAGAGGATATGGAAGGGAAGTATTTCGCATGTTCGAAGTTTCACATGATGTTAGTATGCTGTTGAACAGCAAGGAAACATATCTGTATTTTCAAGCTATCTATTTTCAATGCCTGAGACAGAACTTTAATAGAAAAAAAGGCTGTAAATGAGTATCACTTCTTGTTATTTGGTATTTCCTGTAGCTGGTAAAGACAACTTGCTGTGTGAATAACAGAGCTAACATTGAAAGAGGAAGATAATAAGAATTAAACCCAAGCAAGTGTCAAATTTTGTAGGAACAGAAATTTGCAGAAATATCTGAAAGTAGGTAAAGTTTTTAAAAACTCTCTATTTAAAATTGGGAGATTTTAAAGCTAGTCCACTGATTTTTTGGACTTTTATCAGTGATTTGAAATGGTATGAGAGACCTATGTCTGGTCTCGGAAAACTCTTTCTGGGTCTGTATCTTGTCTTCAGAACTATTTCCACACTTTTATAAACTCATGTATGAAGCCCTGTATTTTCATCGAATCTTTCCTGATAGTTCTGCTACGTTCTTGCTTGTCACATTGTGACAATATCAAAAGAAAGCTTCTCAGTTAATATATTCTTGATGAACTTAGTTGAAAAGCATATTTTTAGAAACTTTAGGTTTGGGGTAGAGTTTGTGTTGCAGTAAACTATGAATCAATATCTCAAAATTAGCTTTGTGCTTCTGTATGTAAATGCTCCATCTGTAGTGCAATTATCTTACATATTTGCTTTCATATGAATCAGAGAATGAGAACTTGCATGGTAATATTTTTCCTAGCTGTAACTCAGAATTCCATTTATCCACCCAAGCTAAGTATCAGAGGAAAGTCCCATACAACTGGACTTTCATTGTCAGGGGCAGTTTTAAAGATATGGAAAACTAATAATAGAAACTGCTATTTCTGTTGAGTGATGTGTAACTTGTATATTATGCTTTTCCTTCCTTTGTTTAAATAGTTCTTTTTGGTTTGAGGTTTTTGAGGAAGAAACCAAATAAGATGTGTACTTTATTTTAAGGCAAAGTGCTGTTGTGGTATACCACATTCTATAAGGCTAATCAGAAGCTAGTCTAAACTTTTAGAAAAAAAATCAAGAGTAGTGTCTTGTAGTCCTTTTCTTAACCTGCGCATTAGAAATAATAGTAAGGTGTTAAGATACAAAGTGAGAAGCTCCCTAAGCTACAAAACTGAGAGGCTCTATCAGAAGAGGTACCTACCCTATGTGTTGCTATTCCTGTTATTCGCCTGAGCACTCACAGAGGATTTCTGTTTGGGGAAAGAACCTTTAAGCCCAGTGCTGTTGTTCTCAAATTGCTATGCTGAAAGCAATTCTTAATGTTCCATTAAATAGCTTTTAATGAACTACTTTAATCTAGCTTCTATGATAAATTACTTGCCTTTTTATGAAAAGAATAGGGGGAGACAGTATTTAATCATAGCTGTCATGCTTCTTAGTCCTCAGATCTGTGAATTTGTCCCTCTCTTTCTTTTTTTTTTTTGTGTTGGGGCCACACTTGCTTTTATTTGAGCTTCATAGTTGGACAATTACATGCACTTCAGCTTTAGTTGACAGCTTGCAGCATGCAGGGACCAGGAGGAATCTGGCCTCCTTTCTGTGCAACGAGAATGGGAAAGAAGATGGGGAACTAGATGGGAAAGCAGGTCCCTCTTCTCCTAACACCTCTGATATTGGCCACGGGGGATGAGTGCTTATCATATTTTCAGAGTATTTGTGCATTTAATTGCATAAATATTAATTCTGATCGTTTAAAGATGTAAGGGACAGGAAGTGTACTCTCTGTGTGTCATCTTATACCTATGTGATTTCCAAAACCCAGTTATAGTACAACACATTATATATATGAATGCTGATTCAATTACCTCTCCCTCTCCAAACAGCAAATGAGAAATCAGCGGGAGTTTTATGTGCATGTAGGATGACACAATTTGTGCTTCCACAGTGACATTAGTGCACATGAACATTTGCATTCAAAATTAGGACTTAGCTTAGCAAACTGCTCCATACTTGGTCCATTTAAAATCACAGGGATTCCATATGGTCACAGCAGTCTACAGCTCAGAGAATTTACTGGATTTGATCCAAATTTTAAGCTTTGTTATTTTGTCTGTGGATTAGGCTTTCAGACAGAACTTAGTGTTTAGCATTAAAAGCTATATGTATATATCTCATGTTCAGGCTTCTAAATAGAGCAGTTTTTGAAAATGGCCATTATATTGTTACTTTTAAAACAAATATCTGATGGTCTGAAATTAGTAAATATTTGGGTTCAAAATGACAGCATTAACAATGACAGTCATATCTTCTCATCTTTGTTTTTACCCCTTAAAATCAAGAGAATTACTCTGAAACATCTTGAAAGGAAATAATTTTAAATCCTTGAAAGTCAAAGACACTTTAATTCTCATACCAGTAGGGTATGAGAATCCACATGGGTTTTCTTATTCAAAACGTGGAGTTAGACTTTGTAGATTGCTGTACATGCTCTTAGATATGTAACTAAGCATTTTAATTCCATTTTCAACTTGAGATACTTGTATGTTAATGACACAGAAATTTAACACCAGAGTGTCAGATTTTTGGTGATTTTTTTGGTGCAATAATTGAGAGTTAGAATTTTTAATAAGAGAGCTTGAATAGCAGGAGTTAAAATTAATACTCTTTAGTTTATAAATGCTGCATGAGGCTCTGAGAGAATGCCGATACGTTTCAAAGCTGCAAGTAGTTAAGTTGCCTCGGTAGCAGTGTACAGAGCTGCTGCTGTAGGGTTGCAGCAGCATGGTAGGCTGCTTTATGGAGCCGGTGGTTACAAAGATCCACTTTAACCATTTTTTTCTTACTGGCAGGTGTCCCACTGGCCTGAGGCCAGCGGCTGTGAGTGTGCTGCAGCTTGCGGTTCACACCCGAGCGTAGAAAATGCCGACACCAGCTGGCTGCACATAATTAAGCTGATTGCGGTCTGACTACTTGAACTCTGATACAAAGATGTGATAAATACACAAAATATCCTGGAGATTTGGTCCTCTGACATACTTTATCTCCTTTTTTATCCTTAACAGATATGATATCTGCACGTACAAAAACAAGCCTTGTGGAACACTGGGTAAGATTGTAAGAGAAATTTCAGCTTGTATTTGCTGTTTGTTTACTTGCTCTAACCTCAGATACTGATTTATTGGCTCATTAGGCTTAAGATTTTATCTTTATGCTTTCCAAATTTTGCAGTTCTATAGGCATGAACGATACAAGATACCCTAGATGGATCTGTTTAGGTAACCTAGATGGGTTTATGTGTGATAGATTACTGGAACTTTAAGTTAAGTGAGCTGGTGTTGGGCATTCCTTTTCTGGCAGCTGTAATGCTGATAAAACGTAGCAGATGACTCAAACTTGCCAAGCAATAATTAGAGGAGAGGACTTTAATGTGTATTTCCATTTAATCTGTCTCCATGATCTATTAAAAATATCAATAAAAGACTTCAGAAAAACAATAAAAGAATACAAAAGAAACAGAAATAGACTTTGAGGTTTACACTGTTGTTATATAGTATATAAAGGGGTGCAGGTTCAGACTGTTTCTTTCACAAACTTAGGAAAAATAACACAGTGATGTAAATTGGAGTAGTATTAGAGTGCTGCACTGCTTTGGCAACAGAGAAATACACATGGCAGCCTGAGGGGCAGAATGGAGAGTTATTGTCCTCTCCAAACCTAAATTTTTCACCAGAACTTATACTTAACGTATTATATACTTATTAGCTTAAATAGTCCTTTAAATTTATGAAAGAAATCTTATATGGAGCCTATCTTTTCAGTTTGGATCCTTTCATAAGCCTCTTTCTTGTCCATAGTTAAAATAAAATTTAAATTTGGCTGGTTCAGTTTAGTAATATTTTCAGAGCCCATCACTGAACTTGCTTTGTGTCTCCCTCTATTCCTGTGTGCTTTGATAGCCTTAATGCATGCTGATTCTTCTACAAGCAGTCCCACTCAAGTCAGCAGGCAACTTGTGACGCAGGGAAGTGATTTACATGAGAAATGGTATCAGAATTTTGCCTCTTGTAAATATAAGCAGTATTCAGAGCATGTTTGGTATACCACAAATGTTAACAGTTATTCTTAAATTTACTAAGTGTTTTACTCTGAAGTCTATGTGGAAGATAAAAACCCAAAGAGACTATCTGTACTGATGTTTCAGAATTGGCTTTGCAAGTGTTAAAAGAAGCAAGTTTGAAAGGGAGTGCATTCATGCACGAATTGCTTGATATTTATATGTGATATTTTTAACACAGTTCATTAGTATATTAGTTGGCTGTGTTTGGCATAAAGGCAGATTCTGCTCCACTTGAATCCAACATAACAGAGGATAGACTTTGGCACATGCTTTATTAAACAAAAGGCTTGATTTTAAAAAATTTTCACATGTGGTATCAGTTCCAACTTACTGTTGCTGGACCCTTGGCAACAGAACCACAGTGATTTATTTGCATTATAGGCATTAAAGTGGAATAGAGACAAGGCACTGTGGCCCTTTTGCAGGAGTGCATTAATATGCTTAAGTTCCACTGACCTCCAGTAACTGAAGTTAAGCACGCGTCAGAGGGGTCTGGTGAAGGGGACTCAGAGAGGTCCCAAAATGTCAGGAGAAACCTGGATCATTCACGTTCAAGGGATAAATAGAAGTAAAGGATTCACTGCAGCATAGATGTTCTCCTACTCCAACTCCCTTAAATAGGGAGGCTTGTGAAGAGTTGCTTAGATGTCTCCTATGCCTCCAGTGTCTTCTGCAGCTCTGTGGCTGTAGTGGAGGACAACTTCTCTCTTCTTTAACCTGTTTACAGAACTGGAAACTGGCTTCTTGACTGGAGCCCTGTCCCTTTCTGCAAGCATGGTATGGAGTTATAAATCAGTAATCTGGTCCTACAGTCATTAAGCAAGTGCTCAGTCATGTGTCAAATAGAGATCACTTTACCACCAAAATATGGCAACATAAGCCGGAAACATGGCAGTCATTATGTAAGTATTCCTATGTTGCACTCAGAATGTCTTAAAACAGTTAGAAAAGCCTAATATCAACAAGTGGACCATAGTTGTTTTTATGTATTGTACACTGCAAACAGTATTCACATTTTTCTTCTGACATTTCATCCTCTCTTCTTAGTAGATATGTCTGTTTTAGTGATTTGTTTTAGAGCAGGCTAAGGCAAATCCTACGGATGCTCAGTGTTACCATTTGCTCCCTGTTGGTTTGGTTACCAGGGTAGTTTGGTGTGTACAAGATAGGTTAGTTTTGGAGAAAACAAAGTTCAAACATTCACTCCACAGAAATTCTAAATGTGCCTATATGAGAAATTAGGCTCCGAATCACTGCATGGACTGTATTCCCACGATATCCCCTAATGTTTTCCCTCCAGAAAGCATTGAACCATGCGTGTATGGACTATGTTTGGCCGTGGGGATGGAACAATGACATATCCAAAGTAGAGTCTCCAGCCCGCAAGGGATATTAATATCCCCGCAAGGGATATTAATGCCAGTGCTTCACCCTATTGATCAGGTCCTACTGCTCCCAATTACCTGCTAATGTAGACATAGCCAGGAAGCACTTGTCGTATTTCTGTTTGCTTCCTGGTAGCCCAAAGAAGATGATCTGGAGTGTCTGCTTTAAAGGAATCTGAAAGCCATGTTCAGTTTTCTTTTGAAAATTCCACTCTCAGATAAGAAACTAAGAAATCCGTCTTAAAAAAACAAACAAACAAGCAAACACACCAAATGGCAACAAATTATGTTTGCAATATGTCATGTCACTTAGTGATGCTGAAGAATGCATGCAATACAGAAGAGCCATATACTGTAGGTGCCAGTGGCTTTCTTTCTCTAAAAAACGTTTTTAAGTACTTGTAATACAATAAGGTTTTAATTCCAGAAGATGATTGGTGATAAATGGAAAAGACTTCCATGGTTAAATGAATGCTTGTTATTAACATGTCTCCTTTCTCTTCATTGATGCATTCAGTTTTGTTTTTACAGTCTTTTTAACATACCACGTGGGGCTTTTTTGTAGCTTAAAAAGTTGCTTGTATGTTTTTATGAACCCGCTAAACTTAAACAGATTTCTTTAGAAAAATAATGTGGATACATTTTGCTTTCTTCAGACTCAAGAATGTTAAAGTAGAAATGCTTTCTTGAATTCCCTCTTCTGGCTCAAGTTACTAGGTGGTCCCAAGTTACCAGAAGTAAAATTTATAAATCTAACCCCTAGTCTAGACATTTTCCAGCACTGACTGCAGTTCAAAAAATATTAATGTCTAGCCGGGAAAGTGAAATTCCCCCCAGTGATTTTGCAAATGACTAGAAAGTTAACCTTTTGCCAACTGCTTCTTCTGTGCATAGAGGTTATTAAAAAGAATCCAGGCATTTATAACTAGGGCTTTTAAGACTGAAACACCTTGGCATGACCCTTTGTGTCTCCTTCTGTTTATTCAGGCTTGGCCTCTGTGGCTGGAATGTGTGAGCCTGAAAGGAGCTGCAGCATTAATGAAGACATTGGCCTAGGTTCAGCTTTTACCATTGCACATGAGATTGGTCACAAGTGAGTGAGTTTAAAAAAAGAATGGATTTACTGTATCACCTTTTTAATAACAGCTTAATAATAGATAGCACTTTTTCTTTTCTGCTTGGCTGTACCATCTCCATTCTGGTGCTCCATGTTTCTGTATATAGTGCCATGAGTGGCAGTATATTGTGTTTAGTATATATTACCATGGGCTTTAACTTTAGAACTGAAGACTGATTGTTTACCCTTTGATTTCAGATTCCAGTTTAATCTGTGCTTTTGAAATTTGGCTCACAGCCTTCCTACTGTATTTCATATTTTTAAATATTTGACTTTGGAAAATGTCTTTACATGATTGTTTCTGTTTTCAGTATTTGTACATTAGTAGTCATCTTTCACCCAAACATGAAACACGTAACAGTCATAACATCACTTTAACTTTTGAAGCACCAGTCTAACTTGATGTTATAAAACATGTTTACCTGAGTTGACCAACACTGGATGGATGGATAACGTATTTTTCCAATTACTAGCTGATGCAACTGCTAAAAGTTCCAGTGCAGACTGAAATAGAAACTATCAATCTGCTGATCAAAAGCAGGAGTTAGAAATAAACACTTATTTCCAGCCCAGCTATCATGTGAGATAATCACTGGGCAAGTATGATCTCGTTTATATTATGTATGAAAAAAAGTCATAGTTGCACTATAGATGAATGCTATATTCCAAGGACACTTGTATAAGATCTTAACAAAAATGGTTTCAAACAGGTACAATTCTCTTGATCTTCGTTCTTCCCCTCCTTTTCCTTTACTTTCATGAGTTCTGTACAAGATAGGATAAGGGAAAATGTTTTGAATGCTTGATGAGATAGTTGATTTGATTCATTAGAAGTTGTGAAATCTTGTTTATTACTTTCTTTTACGTGACCTCCTTGTGAATTTCAGTGGCACATTTAACAAGAAAAAATGTCTTCCGATAAAACATCTGCATTGCACTCTAGATGTAATGCAACTATATATTTTATGTCAGTTATTTCACATATAAACATAATTTAAGTAGCAGCTCATATACACAGCTTTATCATATAAAGCTGGCATGGTGACAACAGCTGCTTTATAGTGCCTAGACTTTAATTAGAACCTGAGGAAATGTAGACATATATATCACAGGTTCTTTCTACTCTGTGTTTTCACACACAGTATCTTGTCTGTATATTTTGGCTTCTTATACATAAGGCATCTCTGATCTTTGAGGCCTTCACCTCCTACTGTACATGTCAAACACTGTTTGGAAGGAGAAAGAGAAATTCATTTAGACTTATTGTGCTGTGACGGTGAATAAAAACTTGCGCTTCAAGCACTGTGTTAAAAATAGGCCATGCAGATATCTTCACTAAAGGCTGGGAAGAATATGTGAGTAAAAAATGCTCTGACATTACAGAGATTATAGTTAGAGTTATCCATGTATCACTTTTTGTGATGACCCGAAATGAGAGTAGACTGTGTCTAAATCAGGAAAGTTATTATTTCCTTTCCTACCTATTTTCAAATTGAATAGTTTTATTCATTAATGAAATAGAAAGTGCTTGCTGCTTGCTGATGTGAGTAAAAAAAAAAATATTTCAAGGAGCACTGTAGATGTTTTTCCTTTGGGCATATACAGCGATTGCTAGTCTCTTTAGGCCTACATGGGAAATACAGAATTTGCTTTACTGTCAAAAGGAAAATTGTAGCATTTAAGGTGATATGTCTAGACTGAACCATGCACCAAAAAGCACTTAATTAAATTAGAATGAGAGGAATGCCCTCTGAAAGATTATGTTTTTCTTAATTATATAGTTGCCATGAAATACTGAGGTTGTAAAAAAAAAAAAAAATAAAAAATAAAATAAAAAATAAAATAGTTGAAATGGGGAACCGGATTTTACAGTGATTCTTAAATTATCCACAGTTTCTCCAAAACTGGATTTGTAAGATTTCTCAGATGAAAGTATGGCTTAACATGACTTACATTTTAGAATGATGAGAAATCATTAGATCCATCCCATCTGACTTTTCCTATATCATAATTTATTAAATATAACTCCTTTACTCTTACATTGATCCCAGTAACTTCTATTTAATATTGTTCAGAAAGCACTTAAAGACTAGAAGAGACAGAGAGCTAGAATGTAATTGTAGTGATAAGTCATACTTTCTGTTAAATATTTTTAAGTAATTTTTTAAGTATTTGGCTTTATTTTGTCACCACTGGTAGGTCTCATATGTGCATAGTCAAGTTTTGGCGCAGGTTGGGTGTGTGCAGCTGAGCCTCGCAGCCTATGTTTATTAAAGCCATAGGTAATGCTGCAGTTATCCTTGTGTTCCCTCCCTGAGGGTCTAAAGGATGGGGTGAGACCAACAATTTCATGAGTGTTTCCCCCTTCTCGTGGTTGTGAGAATAGACTTGTGTTACCTTCATGCTTCTGTTCATCAGATATCGGTCAAAGTGAGTCCTTCAGCCTACAGAGTAGTGTCTCTGCAAAGTTGATTTGTGATGATTGGCTTTCAGGCTGTTTGCTTTCCTACGCTTATGCATTTCACACTGAAGAAATACTTGAGATTTCTGGTAAGAAAATGCCTCTCTAGATTTGCATTTCTGGCAGGACTGAAAATTAAATTAGTATCCTGTGCATCTTGCATGAGTCTTGCAGTCACTGAGTTGTGTCCTGAAAAGGGGCATATCCTTAAAATTCCCCTTAGTGAAGAAAACGACTTTGCAGGCGTGTGTATCTAAACCTCCAAGAAGGATAAGATACAGAATCCTTTCTCATCTTCTGTGTTTCCACTGTGTGTTAAGTTAGGTTGCCTCCCAGTCGGTGTAATTTTTTTGTGGATTGCTTTCTGAGCTCTCTAATGTGTTCCATGCAAGGGAAAAAAGGCTAGTGGGTAAAGTAATTTCTGACAAAAATCAAAATTGTTTTGGTTAACAGAAGATGTATTGAACTGAAATTCAGAGGAATTTGGCAATTATATCTTGATGAGAAGTTTGTTTAAGAAAAGATTGTAGTCTAATGAAGTCAATCATCTTAAAGATGTAGAAGAGTAATGATTTCTGGTATGTATATAGTTCTAAAGTAATTCATACAGCTGGAAAGTACTTGTAATTATAGCATTCATTGTCATTCTGTAAGCAAAGCAGGAAGGTAGCCTGGGTACCCCTGCTGTCTGTGAGAAAGCTGATGTTGAGTCCTGGAGCTGAAGTATCTGATATGGGCAATGTCTTCCTAGAGACATTTTCAAGGAAGCTGATCTTTCCCTCCTTCTTCAATAACTGAGGAGCTTCACCTTTGATCGGTCAGACCTCAGCTGCATTTTGCATTTTAGGACCTCATTTTAGAATTTTTTTTTCCTTTTTTTTTTTTTTTTTTTTTTTTTTTAATAAATGCCTATTCAGTGATTATATGTATTGTATAACTGGTAGGAAAATACCCCAATCTGAAATATTAAACATGCATATTTCACCCTTCAAAATCTAATCGTAGCTAGGATAAATTTTGCTAGCAACATTTACTCTCAGGTCTCCAAGAACAAATGTCCACTTGATCATCATTGTTTTATGAGTGGTGGTGATACCCAAGCCTGGAAGGAATGGAATGGTCTGGAAGGTAACAGACCATTGCAAGTCTACAGTGTGCGAGTACCTCAGCAGCAGAATTGCCAGCTTAGAAGCTTGTGATGCTTTTAGTTACTCATGTGCAAGAGAGCAAGTTCCATTCCAGACAGTTGACTTATTGCCAGCTCAGTCAGTAAGAGTCACTGAACCATGTTAAAACTTGTCCCTGCTACGTGCTTAAGGTCCACTTGGCTTTGGTTTCTTGTCCTATTATATTTAGTATAATCCCTTTAAACTTTAGGGACAGTTTAAGTAATGTTAAACAGGTTTTCTTTTTTTGTTGTTGTGAAGAGAGTAAATTGACTGGAAAAATCACATAGGACCATATGGTCGTATCTTTTCTGTTTTGTTTAAAGGAACAGTGTTTTATGTCTGCCATTCTTATATTGCGGGTATGAAAGCATACAACTTCTATAAATGCAAAAAAATCTTTGTTGGGACTTTCATTTTAGTGATGTATTGTACATATGGACTGAAATGTCATAAACATGAGGCAAGAAAAACGATTCTGGTTTCTGTAGAGTGTTTAGATTTTCAGTCTGAAGTCTAACTATGTGGAAAATATTTAAAATACAGATTTAGCAGTACTAAAATCATTTGTCTTATCTTAAAGCATTCTAATCAAGGAAAAGGAATGTAATAATATTTCATAGATCTTAACAAAAGTGTAAGTAGAATAAATGAGGGTGAAGAGGAAGGTTACAGTAACCTTCAGGGCATCATGAATTTCTGAAGGAAATCTGAGCTCAGAAGTTTGCCTCCTGATTAGAGGCAATACATTCCACTTTGACCCATAGTGTAGAGCTCCAGTGCAGTCAGACTCCTGCTTTGTGTAGCACAAAAACATTACCTGATGTTACTCTTGTGACTTGAAAACGGAATAGCTATGGCAGTGTTAACCTCAAGGAGAAATTTGTGCTCTACTTTTTCTTTTTTTCCTAAGATTCTCATAGAAATCTGCCATTTCCCCATAATAAGTTCAGGTTTCTGAATAGGCTATATATTTTTTTCCAATCAATAGGAGTTTGCAATGTTTTGAAGAGTTTCAGAGATTATTTAATACTAAATTATGTTAATATATCAAATTTTTCTTTGGTGAATTTAATCATCAGTCATACCTCAGAGAGAAGAATGGCATATAGAATATAAATGGGAGAAATGCTAAGCTAAAAGAATGCAAAAGTTATCTTGAATGTGATTACAGGTATTATTCTTATACAATTTCATTATTCAATAAATTAGTTCCAAATTCTCAGAAAAGTAATATGTTTAACCTAAATCGAAGTTGAGAATTCTGCATTGCTTCAGAATAAAGGGTTAGGGATGCTCCAAACCATTATAATGATCTACAAATACAAGAAATCAGCAGTTAAGATCCA